TAAAAGCCTTATAGTAAATATCCTAGCAATAATAGGACATGGGTTTTAGTCATTGTCTTTAGCACCTCAGAAGACAGATTAATTAACACCTAGAAGACCATGAAATCCATGAACAGGGCAGATCACCAATGAGTACTAAGAGCAGAGCGGGTAGGATCTTCAGATGTTCTGGAGCAGTGGGTGCTCACTGGAAGGAGACTGTCATCCACTGCCAGAGCAATGCCTCAGAGACTGGGAATGGGCAGTGTCTCTTGTAGGGTAATAAGGCAATTTTACCAACTCCCAGCTTGGCACTGGGAATGTGAGCAAAACTCTTGGACAACACTTTGAAGAGGACCAAAGACGCATAATGGCTCCTTTCAGAGAAAACAGTCCCTTCACTGGGATCTAGCTAAGGCCACTCACTAGTAACTTAAGAGTTTAGCTCATCCATGTGAGTTATCTGATGGAACCACCAGCTTGTATTTGTATCTATAGAAGTTCACCCACAGGCTGTCACCACTGGTACATTTGGAAAGGAACACCGCCTGCTCTCTCCTTCTGGAAAAAAAGTGACCTCCTGGCAAGAACACTACCAAAATAGGTGCCAAAGTCATATGCTTCCTCCCTCCCACCACCCTCATCCTGATGCTTACTTTATTACTCCCCCTTTTTTTAGTGGTACTGGGGATTGAATTCAGGGCCTTACACTTGCTAGGCCAGCACTCTACCACTTGAGCCACACCTCTAGTCCTGCTCCCCTAATTTTGCTACTTCTATTTCTTCTTTCCTCTTAATTCTCAAGGCCAAAATTGAAATTCATCTAATAAATCTTCATTACATGGCCTCTTCCAAGCAGGGCCTCATTCTAGGTACAATAGGGGAGCTAGAACATGATCCCTGGTGCCTGGCAAGTATAGGTAAAAATCCCAGTTCTACCACTGTGGAATGCTGGGCAAGTTAAAATCATCTCTGTGTCTGTTTTGTCATCTCTAAAATAGAGATAATAATACCCACCTGTTGATTCAGTATAAGATTCAATTTATTAATATAAAGTGCTTTAAAAAGGTGTCTAGCAAGCCAATCAGGGAGGTATATGCCTGTAATCCCAGTACTTAGAAAGCAAAAGCAGAAGGCCAGCCTGGGCTATGTAGTGAGATCCTGTCTCAAAAACATTTTTTTAAAAAAGCGTGCCTTGTGCCAGGCACCAGTGACTCACACTTGTAGTCCTAGCCTCTCAGGAGGCAGAGATCAGGAGGATCACAGTTGGAAACTTGCCCCAGGCAAATACTTCATGAGACCCTATCTTGAAAATACCCAACACAAAAAAGAAAAAAAAAAACATGCCTTGCACATGGTGAACACCTTACAAATGTTAGCTATTGTTATTATTACTGTTCTGTTAGAAAGGATGACCCCCACACCACACAAAAGGAATCTATCCAGTTGAAGAGATAACTAACTCTTCCTAACAGTGAAAGAACAAATGTCCACTGACTAAAAATAAATGGTTTGACTATTAAGAGAAAGAGAATGACAGAAAAGGGAAATATCATTGTAGTAGTGAGAGTACCAGCAAAGCCTCACAGGAGAAATTGGGCTGGAAAATCAGTTAATATCTGAAGGTTAAACAGACATGGGAAATGAAGTACAGGAAAGATCACTGGGCTTGAGTGGGCTTGAGAGTAAAGCTGACTAGACAACAACAAAGACAACAGGCTAACATGGGGGACATGGAGAAGACAGTGTGGGTCCAAGTTTTCTGTGTAGTTGGAGATGGGTTAGACAAATCCTGAGAGGTCAGGGATGGAGCTGAAGGCAAGGAGACATCCAGATAAAGGTGGTAGTACAAGTTACAGAAGAAAAACAAGTCACTGAAGGAGCGTGTGTAGAAAGAAAAAAGCTGTAGGCAGAACCCTGAAGGTGTACTTACACTGAGTTCGAAGGCCAAGAGAAAAAGAGATGCTAAGGAAACGGAGAAGTCAGTGAGGACAGAGATGATACAAAATGCAAGGAACGGATGGTGTTCTACTGCCCTTGGAAAATAAGTCTTTTATGGACAAGTATAGGGGATAAGGTGTGGCTCAGTGGTGGAACATTTGTATAGAATGTATGAGGCCCTTGGGTTTGATCCCCTAGCACAGGGAAGAGAGAGGGTATAAATGCCTTTTTTCTAAAACTTAAGATCTCTGAGGGCAAGAACCTGTCAGTTACATTTTAAGGACCACACAAATTGGTTTTCTGCCCAAGAAACCTCTCCATATAAAAATGTTGGTGTTACTGTTAAGTTGCTTTTTTCCTGACCTAATATACTTCTACAAAAATCCTTTGGTTTTCAACCAAGTCTCTGGATATTATCTTTTCAACTCTTAACACCCCACCCCCCACTTCAGGTAGTACAAAAGTGACAAGAGAATGTTAAAAGTGTCACAGAGGCTATTGGTAAATGAACTTGGCTCAGTAGCATGAGAATAAAATCCCAGCCCACATGTTCAGATCTGGCCCAGCCCACAGAGAAAAGCAGTTCTGTACAGCCCCTTGCCCCCAGCCTGCCCTTTCCGAGATCACATTCCCTCTCTGGAGCAGAGGACACCCAGTCCCTCTCATGCACAAACCTAGCCTTCAATGCCATTTTCTCCACTAGTTCTCACGGGCCTGGGCTGCCATCTTAACAGTGATTACCACTGATTAGGTAGATCACAAAGCCTGTACTTTAATATTTTCTAAAACATACATACAGGAATTTCTGTTCTCCTATTCCAAGGAGGATACTCCAAGACCTCCAGTGAATGCTTGAAACTATGGATAGTAGCAAACTCTGTATCTACAATGTTTTTCCTATATATTCATATCTGTGATGAAATTTATAAATTAGGTACAGGAATTCATTATGATAATAAAAATAAAGCAACTATATTATACTGCAACAGGTTATGTGAATATGGTCTCCCTTTTCTCTCTCAAAATACCTTGTACTGTATATATAGGGTTGGTCCTCTTCAATGTTGACCATGGGTAACAGGTTGTAGAGTGAAACCTCAGATAAGCAGGGACTACTTTAAGCATTGCTTTAAGATAAGGAAAACAGGGCTGGGGGAAAAGCTCAGTGGTAGAGCTTGTGTTTAGTATGCATGAAGCACTGGATTCAATGTTCAGTACCACAAAACAAAAAAAAAAAAAGGAAAATATTTGTTGTTTTTTCAAAAGGTCTAGATACTGGCAAACAGTATTTGGATGCCTACTTCCTCACTGGAGAAATGGCACAGGGAAGGGTTTGATAAGCTGCTCAAGGCATTGTACCCATTGCATTTTTTCTTTTTCAGAACCCGGGTTTGAACTCAAGGCCAACACCTTAAGCCACTCCACTATCCCTTTTTTTTGTGATGGGTTTTTTTCAAGATAGGGTCTCATGAACTATTTCGCCCAGGTTTGCTTCGAACCACAATCCTCCTGGTATCTGCCTTTTGAGTAGCTAGGATTATAGGCATGAGCCACCAGCCTCTGGCCTGCCCATTGCCTTTAATTCAGCTTTTTTCCAGTCCAAAATACTAACGTTTCCAGAGGAAAAAAGCAAAATAAGTTCCAAGGAGATACCAGAGTAGGGCAATGAGACCAATCTTGGCCAGGCGACAGGCAGCTTGACTAAGCAAGCCTGAGATAAATTCAGTAGAATTCCAACAGCTCTACCTGTGGGTGGCCAAGTCAAAGTCCACTGACCCTGAGCTTTTCCATAAAAGGAGGGAAAAGAGAGGTGAGGTCCTTGGTAGTACCCTATTTGCAGTTCATGCAGGCCTTTCTCTTCCTTCCATTTCTTCTCACTGTTTTACCCAGATGGCAAAGACTGCTTCAGTGTAGATTTAGAAAAAAAAAAAATGTCCAAAGTATGAAAAAGGTCTGTTCCCCCCACACACTCAGCTAGGATAGTTGGCACTGCATGTGAATCAGAGAGATGTCAACACATTCACAGGAAGAGGTAGACAGGTGCAGCATGTCTATGAAGAATCAGCATGTCCATGAAAAGTAAGGCACCTCAACTATGTGCTCATAGTTACAAAGCCTCACATTATGTGTTTCATTTTTTAAGTGTGGCACAGGGTGTATAACAGGTAAAGAGAAAGAAAAATTTAATATCAAAGAATATGACTTTTTGAAGTGAACAGACTTTCAGCAGAAAATAGGGGTATGGCAAATGAGCAGGTAGAAGGGGTGGACTTTCATTTCCATGACCACCTTTTGACCTTTTGTATTTAGTGCCATATATACAAAACTCTATTATTAAAGTCTTCACACACATACAGTTACAAAATGCAAAAATGAAGGCTCACCTGCACAAAGCTATGAAATGTTCCTTCATCCCTCCTGAACCCCTTTCTCAAACCTAATGTCCTCCTCCACATACTAGCCATCCTGCTGCCCAGCTCCCTAACTCCCCCATCCCACCATCACCCACAGTAGCTAATTTTACTCTCCACTTCACTACATTCCCCCAACCTCCCATGTGACCACAGAACTTGCCCTCCTAGATACCTGTGAAGTTAGAAATGTGTGCTCTACATCCCATACTTTCAGACCCCTGCAGAACCAATGAACACTAGCCCCCAGATACATCTGCCTATTAACAGTGAGCTTTAGCCAGGGAGTGACAGAATGAGGATTTGGGGGCAAGTGAGGACACCAGGCTTGAGAGTCAGAAGACTTGGGCTTATTCAGGCTCTATGATTTGGGGCAAATGGTTTCATCTTTCTGGGGTTTAGTTTCATTAACTGAGAAAGAAGGCAGTTGAAGGATACCATCTTCACCCAAGGTTGTTTCCAGACCCCACATCCCCCAAATCCAATGTGCCACTGCTCTTCTTTGATGCCCATCCCTTCTGAGCAGGCTGATGTGTATCGTGTGTATAAATGGCACTGTCCAAATGTTAGCCACATAGATCATTTTAAACATTCTAGGAGCCTCGCTGCAAAAAGTAGAAAGATAAAATTAGTTTTAATAGATTTTATTTAATTCAATATATCCAAAATATTTTCATTTCAACATGCAATCAATATTAAAAAATGACTTGAGTTTCCATTCTTTTCTTAGTACTTGGTCTTCAAAATCCAGTGTGTATTTTACAATTACAGAATGATTCAACATGGACTAGCCACATTCCAAATGCTCAAAATCTACATTCAGCTGATGGCTACTGCACTGCATGATGCAGGTATAAGTCACTTTGATCTCATTCAACACAGTTTTGAAGACCATGGGAAAGGTTAAGTTCACAGGAGCAGTTTGGGTTCTGAGTTCCCAATCTAACTAGGCAGTGGCCACTGGAGAGTTCGAGACCAGGACTACAACCAGAGGGTGCCAACAGAACCACACTGGAGAACCTCAGCAGAGAAAACAAAAATGAGTTGGGCATAACCAAGACTTCTTTATGTTCAGGGTTTCACAACACAAAACCACAGCATCACCAAAGGCACATAACCTGCTTATGTCATTTAAGTCAACCTATTCAGCAACCCCTCTGAGCACCTTCACTCCTAGCCTTTGGCTGGGCACTGGGAAAAGCTGGGGCTGGGGACAGCAACCACTCACAAGAGCTCCTCCTTGGGGCAAGAGATGGTGCCAAGCACTTCCTAAGTACTACTTTTACTCATCTGAGAGTCCCTGTAAGATAAGAAGTGACTTACAGGTAAGAACCTAAGGCTGAGAAAGGTGAAACTACTACAACAGTCACCCACACAGCAGAGCAGGGATCTAAGCCTCACTTGTCCACTGCCACAGCCTTGTTGCCCACCTCCAAAGAGCTCACAGTGATGGCGTTAACAAGGAATTCCACAACTATGAGGTCACTACTACAGGAGGCATATGAGACAGGGGACTGGAAGGAGGGAGGGTAAGAAAAGGATTCCCAGAGGTACCCCGGATCAAGCCTAGAAGGTCACGGAGCTTTCTTAGCAGAGCAGATGATGATTTCTCCACAGGAACAGTGAGAGACAAAGCACAGGGCAAGCACTGGGTCAGGAAACCCTGACTGGAGGGCAGCTGGAGGGCACTGTGCCTAAGGAGCAAAGACCACACAGCAAAGTAGGGATGTCAGACAAAACCTGCACACAACAGACCTTAACTTCTATGAAGAAGAATCTGGATTTCATTCTGTGGGCTGTGGAAGCTATTAAAGAGTTCTCTGTAGGAGAGTGAATGGGACCAGCTTAAGAAATCATTCTAAGCCAGGAATGAGTCTCAGCTAGTTGGGAGGCTGAGGGAGGAGTATTACTTGAGCCCAGGAGTTTGGGGCAGCCTAGGCAACATAGCAAGACCCTGCCTCAAAAAGAAAAAAGGGCAGGTAGTTGGAGGGGAAAAGGAGAGAGTAATAGGCGGAGAATCCGATCAAAATCATCACAACAAAACCCACTAAAAACTGTCAAAAAAGGAGAGGGGAGGAGGAAAAGGGGTTAAGGAAGAGTAATATAGACAGGGTGAATTTGATCAAAGTACATTATATGCATGTATTTAAATACCACAATGAAACCCCTTTGTATAATTAATTCATGCTAATAAAAAATTTTTTTAAAAAGAAGTAATTCTAAAGGAGGGATTTCAAATCTTACCTGAATCCCTTTCTCTCCCCGGGAGTCAAAACTCTATTTAAAACCCATATTAAAAGAACCATAGATTGGTTTCCTACAGAGTTAGACTATGTCCTAGGGATTTAGATAAAATTCTAAGTACCTGTGAAGTTTCCTTTACTAAAGAGAAGTCCTAACTCTCAATTTCTAAGTAGACCAACAAAAAGCCAACAGCACCCCTTATATTCCTGGCAGTCACAATGACCAAGGCCCTAGCTTCAATGGCATACCCCCCCGCACCGGCAAGCTTGAGGCCTTCCACCATCTTGACAGCACAGGGTAACCTGCATCCACTTACACAGACAGACACACCGAAGAAAGCTGAAATGTTTCAATTCCTCAATACCACAGTTCCAATACCTCCTCTCCTGAGGTTTACTGTTCACTGCCTTCAAAACTCATGCTATTCCTCCACCCAGCCCCCACACAGACCTTCCACCTCACCTGATTACCCAATTCCATTTTCAGCTCATCAGCCTCTGAGGCTGGCCTACTTTTCAAGGACACAAAAGCTGAAAAACTTATGCATTATACAAACAATAGAATAACTAGGATAACAGGACATAGGGGGAACCATGGTGTGTACCAAGGAGGCAAAGATACCTGAGGAAACAGCCATGGGACAAAGTTTGCAGGGCATGCAGAGGGCAATGGTGAGGAGAGCAGTTAGATACTGAGTGCAACAGGGCAGGACTTGGCTACTAACACGTTAGAAAACTGAGCTGAAGACCAAGAGGTACCTAGCAAGATCACTTTCCCCAGTGATCAGGGCTCATTTTGCTCCCTGTGGTCAGCAGGGTGCTTCTGAAGCCCTGTCCTGTCTTAACTGTGAGAAACCTCAAGCAATGGGAGGACTTATGGCCACTGGAGGGCCACACTGGTGGACCACATGTAATTAATTATACCAACATTTGTAGGAGAGAAGAAAAAGGCCCTTCTGAACTCACTCTGAATAATTAAGGTACTGCTTCATGGGGAAATTATCAGAAATACAATTTTCAGGGAAGTGAAAGGCCAAGGGTTACTCCTCTAGGATTTTTCTGAACTTCCAGCTCCATCAATACCTTGACCTGGAAAGCCACCCATCTTTGCCAAGAAAAGGGAATGTTTCCCAAACACACCCACTATTCCAAACTTCTTCCCAGGCGTAAGAAGCACTGTTCTGGACAGCTGGGCCTTCGGCCCCATTGTTTCCATGTTTCCTGCAAGGCACAGAAGGAAAAAAACCACTGCAAACCATGGCTCACCTGCCTCAGTTGCTCTTTCTAGAATGAGTCAAGCCTACTCCCATAGGGCCAGTTAGCCACAGGAACCAGGACACAAGCCCAGCTACTCTGCTTCTGTGGGTGTGAACCATGAGAGGCTGAAGCAATCAGAGAGAACCACTCAGTCATGGAGGGCAAGTGGGTAAAGATGAGTAAACGTGGCCTTCCGGATCCTGCGGAAGAGCTGAGCCAGCTGGTACAGTAAGGGCAGTGAAGAGGGAGAAGCTGCAGGGAAAGGGAAGACAACTGTGAGTGCTCCCTCCCACTCCCCCTCCTCACTTGCCCCATGGAGGCTTTAAAGCACAAGTTCGTATTTCATGGTATTTACATTCTCCTCAATAACAAGGAATTTCACTTCCTCTGGGGTATGTGTTCTCCACTTAAACTGAAGAGACCTTAAGGTTGCTTAAAAAAGGTCCAGATTTATTACATTTTAACCTAACTTTCCAGTATACAAAACCTAGTAATAGTAGCTGCCTCTGGGGAGAAGAATTTGGAAACACTTTTCACATTTTGTACCTTGCTGAACCTTTTAAATGTACAGCCATATGACAGCATTACCTATTTTTACCCTACATTAATTTTATTAAAAATAAAGCAAAATCTACCAAGTTTATTTGTTTTCCTTGTTTGAATTACTGATTTTTTTAAAAAAAAAACAGAGAATATATATACGTCTTAAAAAATTTTAAAAAAAAAATTTTTGGCAGTATTGGTGTTTAAACTCAGAGCTTTGTGTTTATGCTTTGACACTTAAGCCACCCCTCCACCCCTTTTTGCTTCAGGTTATTATATTTTAGACACAGTCTTACATTATTGCCAAAGGTGGGCCTGGACCGAGATTCTCCTACTTTCAGCCTCCTAGCACAGCTAGGACCACAATCATGCACCCCCGCACTCAGCTTACTGGCTGAGATGTGGTCTTGCTAATGTTTTGCCTGGGATGGTCTCAAGTCGCCATCTCCTAATCACAGTCTCATAAGCAAACATGAGCCTCCATGACCAGCCTCTTCTTATTTTATATTTGCAGTACCAGAGTTTGAATTCAGAGACTCATGATTGCTAGGCAGGCCTTCTACCACTTGAGCCCTGCCCCCAGCTCTGTATTTCTTTCTTAAAGAACTCTACCATTTGAGTTTATTTCTCTCTTAAACAAATAAAAAATGTCCCTGCTAGCTACTTGGGAGGTGGAGAGCAATAGTATCGAGGTTCAAAGCCAACCTGGGCAAAAAGTTAAGACCCTAACTTAACCAATAAAAGCTTGGCGTGGTTAGTAGAAATCAGTCAGCCCAGCACCCAGCAATGTAGGAAGCACCAATAGGAGGATCATGGTCCAGGTCAGCCAGGGCATAAATGTGAAACCTTAGGAAAATAACTAAAGCATAAGGACAGGGTTGTCACTCAAGTTGTAGTGCACCTACCTGCCCAGCAAGTGCTTAAAGTCCCCTGAGTTCAAACTCCTAGTACCAAGGGTAAAAAAAAAGTCCCAGCTACTTGGAGGGCTAAAAAGGGGAAGCTCACATAAGGCCAGAGCTTTGACCCAATATAGTGAGACTCCCCCACCCATTTCAAAAAAAAGGGTGGGGGGAAATTATTCATTTGCTTATTTGGTCATTTATTTATTTATTATTTTGATTGAACCCAGGATTTAGAGCATGATAAGCACATACTCTACCACTGAGCTACATTCTCAGCCCTTAAAAAAATATTTTTTTAGGAAGCTCTTGGTAGTTGGTCCTTGTTACATCATTTCTTCCAAGTTCTCACTGTGGCCCATTCACAGGCTATCCTCTCTCTCGAGCCAAGGCAACTTTTCAGGAAGGTCTGAACAGCCCTGGAAATAGCAACTTTGTGCTGTCACCTCTTAGGAGATCAGAGTTTATGATACCAAAGGACTGAGAGGAATGCTAAGGAATTTCTAAGTTTTTAATCAAGACTCTGGAAAAAAGCAGAAAGTCAAAGGGTGGATAGAAAAGAACACAAACTAGCCTTAGCTTTTTTTTTTTGCAGAGCTGGGGATTAAACCCAGAGTCTTATATGTACTAGACAAGCACACTACCACTGAGCTATACCCCCAGTCCTAGTCTTAGCATTTCTGAAAGCCACCTAGTGACTTTTTTGTACAATAAACAGAGCTGCCTAGAGGGAATTCCTGCTTAGAGTCCAGCAAAGGAGATAATAAGGTCACTCTAAGCTATACAAAAGAATTTTTTCAAAGAGAGCTGAATACATATAAAAGGAAAGTAGGGAAAATAAGGAAGATTTAAAGATTTAGTCAAAAAGCGACAACTTTAAAAACAGACAAACTGTGTAACCTGGGGCTAGTCATTATACCTCTCTGGTTGCTAGGTTTTTTTGACCAAAAATGAAAGAAAAAGAAAGAACTAAAGTAGAGTTTCTGGTTTTCCTTTCAGTTTTGAAAGCTATGTAATTCTCTTCTAAGTCTGCATTCACGAGAAAATAAAGGAGAATTAGATTACTCTCACAGAGAGTAACACAAAAAAGATCTAGCCAAGTATGGTGGTACACACCTATAATCCCAGCACTCAAAAGGCTGAGGCAAAAGGATCATGAGTTCAAGGTCAGCCCAGGCTACACAGAATTCCAGACTGGCGTGGGCTAAATTGGGACTCCTGTCTCAAAAAATACTAACTTATAAAGAAGTAGTCACCTGAGGCCCAGTGCCGGCATACCTGAGCAATTAATCCTCAGGAAATAACTAGGGCTATTCCCAAGTATCACTTAGGGAACTCATTTCTACTTCACAGTGAAGCAGAAAACAGAATTGTCATCAATATGTTCAACCTTTACATCAATGATGAAAGTTTCTGTAAATTGTAATATTATTTAGCTATTTTAAATCATGACTGAAGGTATATTTGACACATAAAACTGCGTATCATATCTGTAGCCATAAAGGAAAAACTTCAAATTTCTGTTTTCTTTTTATGTTCTCTACTTTCATTTACAACTTCATGTTTTGAATTAACAATTAGGTATTAACACTTGGACTTAACAGTGTTAAGATTTTTTTTTTTTTTAAACTCCAAGTTCTAGTTAGAGTTCACCCGGGATAAAGCAAGTGCCTAAATGACTCCATCAATGTTCAATCCTTGTTGCTAGGATGTGCCATCCCTAGCACATTCTAATGAGTGCTGACGAACACCTGCTCCCATAGCCCCCCTGCTGTTAAGCCCCCTTCCCCAGGAACAATGGAGATTCCACCACTTACCTGGGTCAAACCTCAACATCAAGACGCAGAGGATCAAGGCAGCCAAGAGGCTTTTCCTCAAGGGCAGAGAAAGGAGGTGGCTCACTGCAGAGTCCCAAAGCCGGCGAAGCAACATCAGTAGTGACAGGAATTTATGGGAGAACAACCCTGGTGAGGGCACAGAGCATAATTTCAGGGTAAGTCAGGGGAATCAACTTCCCTGGTTCTGAGTTTTGAGCTGGATTATAAGAGTTGAGCAAAGAGTAATGAAAATAATTTTCTCATGAAGCTCATGAAGTAGTTCAAAAGGAAATTCCAAAAGCTCTAAAAATGGGGCTTTGGGGGAAGGGTTTTTTTTTT